GCACATCATTGATTGAACCAGACATCGTCCATAGCAAGGGTGAAGATCTTTGGCTGCTGGGCTGCTGGCAGGCTGCAGCCAGGAGGCAAAGGAGGAAGGAACAGGGGCAGAAGACCAGAGTTTAGGGTCCCCCAGCCTTTAGCTCCTGTGAAAGCAGGAATGTTATTCCCAGACTGAAGTTTGCTGCTCTCAGCCGGCAATACTGTAATGGAAGGGCACCCAGGTGCAAAATGATCAGTATGATCCATATAATTATAGATAATAAAATTGTATGCTCCAGCAAGGACCTCCTTTAAAAGGGGGCAATGCACTGCACCCTCAAATGACTGCTGACACCTACATTTTGGGAGTCCCTGTGAACAGAGGAAATGATGCTAATGTCCTGCTATTTTTTTTTGATGGAAGTTTTCTTCCTTCAAGCTCTCTTAAGAGGCACAAAAAGGAAAAATTTCCTCTTGACTATGCTTCTCAGAAAGGGATAGCTATAAGATGCTTAGGAAATTTGGAAACCCATGAGACTCTTCCTAAACTTGCTGATCTCACTAAATTTTCTGAGACCCGTAGGACAGTCAATTGCAAAGCTGTGAAGGGCAACAAGCACAACAGCTGGGCTCCACACTTCTGTCTTGGCTTTTCACATGCACCCTGCCCACCGTCACCTCCTCCGTCCCACAGAGCAAATCCTTGGATTTGAGGATGTGATCTCTGCTGGGAGGGCTCTGTTTAATTTGTCCAGAGGATTCAGCAACAGGACAGGAAGTCAGTGTGGGATGAGTCCAGCATCCCTGATGTGAGCATGCCGCTGCTCCTCTAAACAAGAACCCTCGAGTCAGAGCAGCTGGTTGAGTTTATGAGTGATCCCAAAAACAACTAGGGCCAACTGTCGATGCCAAAACCAAGCTATATTTTTTTTTTGTTTTCAGTGCACTCATTTGAGGTACAACAACTGACACTACTGCCAACCTTGCAGACTCTCTCCTCATATGGGGGCATGTATCTTGACTCCTTCACACAAAATACTGGACAGGAGCATAAGCCCTCACCTGCCAGGGATGCAGTACAAAACACCCCAACACTGCTGCCCACCCCTGCCCATGAAGCACCACCTCTAGTTGGAGCCCATAGCACCCCATTGCCTGATGGGCAAATCTTTGCTCCCCCCCATCCTTTGGGGTCTACTGCCAGGGTAATACTGTGATCCCCAGGGTCTCTGGCATGCATGCATAGAGCCAGTCATGCTGAATGCTCCCAGTGCCTCCCAATGCCCCCAGTACCTCAACTTCCCTATGGCTCCCAGCGCTTCGCCGCCCGCCGAGCTCCCCCCTCAATGAAGTTCGCCGTGGGAACGCTGGGGGGCGAGACCCCACCCCTTCCCCTGTCATTGGCTGCCACCGGGCAGTGATTTGAATATCTCCTTCTGAGTGGCTGGCGAGGCGCGGGTTTGTGGCGCCCACGGGTGCGGGTACCCACGTGTCGGTGGCAGCAGGCGGGCGATCGACCCGGCCGACCCCGGGGCTGCTAGAGGCACCCGGCTGCGGTTCATCCCCCCGCCTTGCGCCCTCGGCCTCTTCCTGCCCTTCCCCACGGCTGCATCTCCCCCGGGACCACCCCACTGCCTGCCAAGGTCTGCCCCAGCGCTCCCCCAGAGCATCATCCCAGGGCCTGGTTAACCTGAACCCTAAACTGATGTTAAAGCAGTGGAATCATCTGTAAGCACCGAGACAGCCAAACGTCACTGTGTCCCCCAGCCCAGCTCCATCAGGAGGTCATTCCTACCCACAGCACTCCCCAGAGAGGTTTGTCTTATCTGGGCTTTGCCTGCCCAGCACAAGTCCTGCCTGAGCCTTGCTATTTCTAGTGGAACATGTAAGCATGTTAAGATGTTAAGACATCTGTCCTCCATTGCTCCTGTTACAATCCAACCTCCTCTTCACAGTCCTGGTGAATATTAAAAAAACCCAGAAGCTTAATTTCACTTTTTGTTTACCCCTTAAAAGCAGTTTTCAATCCACTCCTCAAACCTGTCTTTCCCAGACACCCTCAGTTATTCAGCTCTATTAGAACATAAAAGTCCTTGTCACTCTCCCAGCAACTTCTTACCCAGTTCATTTCTGGAAAACAATGCTGGAAGCAGCAGCGGGACTGTACTAGGTACAGCCTTGAGCTTGACACGCTTCTGAAGAGCAATAAACACAGTGCACTGATTATCACACAGCTCATGCACACCCTGTTTTTCCCCAGCTCCTATTTTTCCCCAGCTGTCTGACCTCTTTGGCTCCCTGTCTGGTTTTGATGCTCTGTAATCCCAATTACATTTTTGTGCGTGCATGTGTGCAGAATCATAGTCTAGTCAGTGAAAGCCATCATGCATGGAAACCCCAGCATGGCAGCCCATGTCAAAGCCTTGCCTCCCTCTGTGTGAGCCCTCGGGCACAAGCACGAGTAACACGCAGGTGCCAGAGCTGCAGAGCCAAGCGTGAAAAACCTGTGCCGAGGCTGTGGAAGGGGGAACACGCAGGGAGCTGCTGGGCTCTGCTCTTCATTTTCTCAGCAGCGGCTGCACCAGCACGTTCATTTTTGCAGGTACTTTATATTCAGAAGCTCCTTAACAGCTAGAACTTGTTTGTGAGCAGCTGGGCAAAAATGCTCAAATTCATCTTGAAAACAAGGGGAAGCAGCAAACAAGAAGAATTTTCAGTCACAGCCTGGGATGAACTGTGATGTGTCTGGCAAACAACACATTAACTTGGTGTGGAGCTCATATTCTTGATCCAATTTATCCTGGGGTGGCCTGTCTGCACACCCTGCACATAAGGAAGACAACAAGCTGGGGCTGAGTCAGTAATTTACATCACCAAATACAGCTTTAATCGATCAAATGGAGAAATCAATACTGCAGTGAACAATCCCAATGGTTAACTTGGCCTAGGATGTAACAGTTCTGTTCTCAGTTTTTCCATATGCCTTGGTTTCTTAATGTGAAAACCTAACAGCAGGAACTGGAAGCTTTCAGAAGATGGAAGAGGCTGCTGGTGATTAGAGGGGACACCTGACACTTGAGAAAGGCTCAGAAGTTATTAGGGCCAGGAATACAGCAACCTAAAAGAGAGATTCTTGTAAATCACCTGGCAACGAAATGACACTGAAGTGCTGTTGATGTCCCTCTTATCACCCCATCAGGACTACAATGAGGCAATCTAGTGTTGTCCTTATGTGCCAGGCTGCCTACAGGCTGTGGAAGGCAAGTAATCCACAGTTCCCACCACACTTCCAGAGATGTCACAAACACACAGACTGTACATTTCCTTTACAATGGCCATCCCAGCTCCAGAGCAAACTCTTGGGGTGGGGAAGCAAAAGTCACCTGCCCACATTTATTCCAGAAGGCAGAATGTCTGAAGGGAAAGGTGCTGTATGACCCATACAAAGGATGTCACACAATGTCCTCCAGCTTTGAGCTACAGTCCCCTTGGCACACCATTCTAAGCAGAATTTCCCTCTCCTTCCCTCCTACATCCCTCTCAAACCCAACAACCACACAATAGCTCTAGAGCATATTAACTACCAAACCACAAGGAGAAATGCTTTTATGATCCTCTTGGACACTTTGGATGAAATCCAGCCAAGCATCACACTTTTGGCCTTGCCTTGGAGTTGTTTTCACAGCTCTGAAACAGCCAACACCTCAAGGCAAGACAGGAAGGCCGGGTAACACAGCTCATGAGCTTAATGTGCATTCTGGAGCAGCCTTTAAGGCAATGTACCAAAACTATTTTGGAGGTGAGGGAACCACATACACTGCATTTTCATGATGTGACTGAGGTTATTCCACATTAGCGCTTAAGAACTCAGCTCAGTATAGGACTCAAAGAGTCCAAGCATGCAAGGCACATGGGATAAAACAGTATCCACTTTCCCACCATTCACCTCCAGAAGGGAGGTACAAAGGGACCCCCTGCTTCACATGCATGCCACCCAGTTCCCTCCAGAGGAAGATGCTCCAGCAGAAATTGTGTGGCTGCTGTCAGCGTTGAGATTGTACCCTTCTCAACACTCAGTGTGCACATGGTCCAAGAAATGTTGGAGAGATCCACCAGGCTGCAGTTAGCTTTAGTGGCTGGTGGCCATCAGCATTGCTCTGATGTTTCTCCATGAAGCCTCAAGCACTGGTTTGCTCTTTCCCCTCCCACTTCTGGCATGAGGAACGTATGTACTCTCCCATTGCTGGGTTGCCAGTTTTCTGGTGGGGGTTTTGGCCACACAAGCCTTTTCTTCCTTTGTCATTTCCTTGCCAGTACACATGTGGCATGGGTGGAGGCTGACAGGGGCAGAATGGCCACAATCTCCTACAGATACTCCAGAACAGAGGCCAGCATGCTGCCTAGGCTTGCTCTTCTCCTCAGAGGATTCACTCAGTTTTGCCACCAGTATTCCTTAACCCAAACCATGCAAACTCTTTTTTTTCCCCTCCTGCTGAAGGCATCCATGCTAAAAAACATATACTGAAGTCCGAAGAAGAAAGGCAATTAACTGCTGCTGACTGCAGCAGCCCTGAGGTAAAGGGCAAGGGCAGCCTCTGCCACTCCCATCCCAGAGAGGGCCACACACATACAACAAGGGCATTAGGGCATTTCATACTCCTCTGAGCTATCGCAATTAAGATCGGCACATTCAGCAGACAATGGAATGAGCCATTCCTGCTCTGGCTGGCTTGGCACCACAGAAATAGCTCCATTTCCCAAGCACCAGTGGATTTCAATATCCTTTAAGAACCAGGAACTATCTCCCCCCTTTCCAACTGCTACTGGCCTTAGCACAGTTGCTGTTACAGTTCAAATAAGACACAAGTGGGTATTTTTTTTTTTTCTTAGCAAAATGACTTAAAGATTTAGTCACAGTGTTACCAAATTCCACCTGGCACAGGTAGCAAACAAAGAGTACCCCTGCATTCAAGTGCGGCACTGGAGAAGAAACACATGAGACAAGATGACACCCCACCCCTATGGAAAAAGGATTTACTGCACAGGAGAAAAGCCAGGGCACTGATGCACAAGAGTGGAAGCAGAGCTCTTCCAAGCCTCATAAACTGCCATGACCATGTGCCTGTTGCACTCTGCCCCAGATCCTCTCCTTTGATAAAGCCAGGTGTCAGCTCTGGAAGGGGAGGCCCAAGGACAGAAGGGTCATGCCAAACAGACAGTGTGATCCCAGCAGAAGTTTTTAGAGACTCCATGGCACCCAGGCACTTAGTAGCTGGAGTTCATTGTGGAAACACATGGGTAGAGTGTCCATAGTCACCCTGACCGGAGCTCAGGAGGGGAGAGGAAAGGTGATCTGGGCTCACTGCTGGTCAGAGAGCCAAGTCAACAAGGCCCTTGCCCACAGTGAAAGGGTCCCAAAGAGCAGCCGGCCAGATGTGGAGCACTGTCCCAGCTGCTGGGCTGAGCACTAGTTCCTTCATCAATCTTGATCATGGCTCATTTTGCCCGTTAGCCTCCGCCGCTGAGTCTTAGTGGTCCGCCCCGTGCCGGATTTCTGGATTTTCTTGCGTGGGCCTTGCCCACGTTGGAGTCTCTTTCCTTTTCTCTTTTTCCGGCTGCGCATGTGCAGCGTGGCAGTAAGAGCAGAGACCCTGTGCAGGGCAGGAAGAGAGAAACGTTTGGAGAACAAAGTCTGCAGGAGCAAGGCGACATCACAACAAAAGCAGGAGAGCCCTGTGTGGCCCAGCAGGAGTAGACATCAGCTCATCACGGTGAGCTCCAGAAGAACTCCACTGTGCTGGGTAGCATCCTGGCAGGGCAGGAAACCTGCAAGTTTATGTGTGCAGTAACAACCACAGTGAATTTTCTAAGCATTGAGCTTCCCAGCCACCACAGAGTTAAGAAATACTCTGCATTCCTGAGCTAGTTGTAAATCCTGGATACTGAAAAAACATGGAGAATGCCAAAGCTTTAGGGTCTTTCGACCTTCAATCCTAGGGACAAATTCTGCACCCTCCCCTGCAGTATCTGCCGAGAGGAAGGGCTAGGTAAACACTTCAGGACAAAGCCCGCCCTGCTCTGCATCCTCCTCCTGCTGCTGCTGTCACCAGGGATCAATGACAGCGGAATCGAGCGTCGGGGACAGGCTTGTGCTCTGCCAGTGCCCTCTGCTGGCTCCTGCCCAGCAGCACAGCATTCCCTGCCCTGCAGGCACACCACTGAGCTGGGAAGGAAAGATCATCATCAGCTTGCAAAGCCTAGCAGCAAGTTGCTGGAGTGAATTTATACATACTTTTCAGACAGGAAAGGGTTTCTGGACTTCTTGGGCATTGCTTTTACAGGTTTGTTCACCACCTCTTCTCCTTTCTCTTCTTTTGATTCATCACTCTTGCCCTTAAAAAGGAAGAAAAAAAAACCAAACAAAACACCTAAGATACATTATAACAGGTAGTTTTGTGACGCTGGTGTTTCTGCTGCCTTCTTGGTTTCATTCTGTTTTGTAAACCATCTTATCATAGGTGAAGTTTCTTTGTTTAGTTCTCCACATCCCTTGCTGTCCAAATCTCAAGGTTTCTTATTACAAGGTTTCTTTCGGAAATGGACAACCAGTGAGAAGTCCTGCAGTAATCCACCCTAAGATCCAAAAACTTCAGTATGAGCTTAATGGCTGCGCAGCTGGTCTAAACTATGAACTGAAGGTTTCCTCTTTTTTCTTGTTATATCAAAGCCTCTTTAAGTAACTTTTTAGATTATAAAACACCCTCACAAATGTAAAAGGTTAACACAGACACTTCTCCAAAGAGCTCAAATCCAGCCACAGTCATGAAGATCAAAAGGATCAAATGAACCAGGGCCTGAAAGCGTTTCTGGACCAAATACGAGATTCTCAGTTACAATATGTTTTGAACACAAAAGCAACAGCATCCAGAAATGAATGTTTTTTTTTTATTTGTAGTCCAAGCACAGGATCATGGAGAGAAGTGCCTGTTTGTCCTAATAATTTTTCCTGATCAGGACACATGAAAGAGATAGAAGACAGCCACGCATCAAAGCCTGAAACCTTGCTGCTCATATTGTATTGGCTTTTAAAATACTACATTCTCACCTCCAGCCCTGTGACACCTTTCACCTACACAAGGTCAGTTGGTACTAGCAAAGGATTCCAAGGAGGTTTGAGCGAGCTGCTCATGTAAGGACATTTCTTCTATTTTAAAGGGCCAATGTAAGTTGTGAAAAAACTAGGAAGTTACAAGTTTCCTTTTTCATCCCTGCTCCCAGCCTGCTGCAAGTCTGTGGGCACATTCAGGGAGTACCAGCCCTATGTAGCCTGCCCCAAGGACATTTACAGCTGACACAACCAGTGAGGCAGCAAGAGGCTTTACCACAGGTGTGGTCAATCCCAGCTGGCGTGCCCCGGAGAGGTCCAGGTCACTGATGGTGGTCACGGTTACAATGTGATTCGGGTGGTCGATGTTCACAGACTCCGTGCGTGATGTCACCAAGTGCTCGAGTTCATCAGCCTCATCTGGGGAGACAAAAAAGATCCTGCACTGCAAAGCACCCCATCTTCCACAAGATACATTTGCTTGTCCCTGCAGTGCCATGCTCAGGGGGAACCCAGTCTCTGCATCCAGAGTGAAAGGGTGGAAGGGTTTGAACACCAGCACTTCTCCCAGCATAGGACTTGAAGATGCCCTCTTGCTTGCTTCTTTCTGCACACCCTCCTACCCCCTATGCCACCAGGACACGAGGGCTGCAGTGGTCACTACTGATTGCTGCCCAGGGGGAACACTAGAGGAGCAAGGAGCTGATGCTGTGGGACAGTGTGCGAATACTCAATACTGCCAGTCCACGGGTGCCCACCCCCCGGCACCGAGGTCCCAGCACCTACCAAGCGCTTCCTCCCTCTCGCTCAGCATCTTCAGGTACTCCTGGTGCCTCTGAGGGGGATTGAAACAGGTCATTGCGGCACCCCTGCTCCTGCAGCCGCCACCCCTCCGACCCAAGACCCACCTGCCCTGCGGCCTGCCCGCCATGGCGGGAGGCGGACACCCCGCATCCACGGAGGGCCATTGCAGGGGGGGGGGGTGTGGTGTGTTTGTAGGGGTACCTCCTCCTTCAGCTTCCTCTGCTCCTCCTTAAGCTTCCGCTTGATCTCGTCCAGGGCCGCCTTCCTCCGCTCCACCTTCCTCTTGTGGAAGCCGGTCAGGTACTCCCTGCCGCCGGCAACACCGAACCACGCGGCGTTCAGCGAGCCCTTCACGGGCAGATATCCCCACCCCGTTGCAAAAATCACACACACGCTCCCGGCCTCACCTCCGCCTGTCCTCGTCAAAAGTCACCACCAGCCGACCCTCTCTGCCGCCTGCACCATTCTTCTTCTTCTTGCGGCCCATCGCGGTACCACGCTGCCGCCACCGCGCTGCCGCCCGCCCCTTCCGCCGTGAGGGGCGGCACCGCACCGCCCCATCCCGCCCGCCATGTTGCCCCGGGCAGGGGAGGCTGACGGCCTCATGGGGGCACCAGGGGGAGGCTGTCTCAGCCTGAAGGAGCAGAGTGGGGCCAGCATCGGGTCCTCTTGTCCCGTTCGTGTGTGGGAGCTGTGTGCGTCCCCTCGCCTGATCATAGCGGTGCGTTGTGCCCCTAGGCAGGGGTGGGAGAGAGAAGCCACTTCGCAGGTGGCTGTTCCCATCCCTGGGGTGCATGGAGGGAGGGTTCCTTCAGGTTTGAGTGCCTCCAGCTCCCTCCTCCCCTCAGCTGCCTCCTAGCAAAAGGGTTTTGCGGTGGTGCCTTGTGCTGATCTCTCATCTTGAGATGCGTTCTCAGCATTGTACGTCTCCATCTGTTTAATAAAGGTTTTTCCTCCCAATAGTTAACATCTGCATTTCATCAGGAAAGGTCCAGGGGTTTGTTTCAAGCTATCACTGTTTGGTGTTAGTGGCACCTGAGCTGCTCCTCTTAGTCCAGGAAGACAACTCGGGGGATGCATCTCGGCTGTTACACTGAGTCTCTGATACGCAGGACCTGGCTCAACAGCCTTGGTTTCTGTAGTGACAGACACCAGCATGAGTTGGAGGGGGGCATCAGCACTGCCATGTTCTTAGATGGTTGGTTGAGTGACTTTGGCTGAACTCTTGAACTTTCTTGCTCTCTGGTCCTTGCTTTAAAGGTGTGTGTAATGCCTGTGTGGCAGCCAGCTGACTGGTGTAAGCTCCTGACGTGCTGCAAGGCCAGCCCAAAACCACCCCCCATGTCACAGAGCGTGATGAGCCCTGACACAAGTCCTGACAGGACTGGTGGCCGCCGTCTGCGGCCCCCTCGCCTTTATCAACTTGCTGGCTGCTGCGCTCTCTTCCTGGCCTGTCCCTTCACCAGCAGAAATGCGGCAAAACCAGTTCTGTGGTTAATTGCTGCACTTCCCTCCCCGCCCATGGGGCAGGTCTCCTCCTCCTCACCCATAGCCTGCCTGCACTTCAGCCTCTTCGCCCCTGCCTGGGCTCAGCCGGCTCAGGTGTGCCGTTAAGGCCTCCACGCTCCTACCGTTAACCTTACGGCTTCTCCTGCTTTCCCTGTTTCCTGCTCTCTGCCAGAGCTGCTGTCTCTCCGGTGGCTCCTTCTCCCTTGGGTTGGCCTGCAGGTGCAGAAGGCGCAGGCTGCCCTCCTGGTCCTGCCCTGCCTGGGAGGGATAGCGCTGGGACGTGATGGCTGGAGGACATGAGCGGAGCATGAAGGCCCTGAAGGAGGTGTGGAGAAGAGCAGAAAACTCTTTATGTGCAGACTGTGGGAAGCCAGGTGAGTCCCCAAGGGCTGCTGGAGGAAGAGTTGGAAGCAGGAGCTGCTCTCTAACAGCTCTTGGGCTGCACGGGAGCCTGGAGTAGAGGGGAAGGGGAGTCATTGCTCTGGGTATTTACTTCTTCTCCCTGGAAGTGAGCTGGCAAGGGAGGAGGAAGGAGATGCTGCCACAGTGCCGGTGGGAAGAAGGACGGGGATGCGGCAGTGCCCTTTGAGCAGGGGCTGTGTAGCTGCAGCGCCATGGGTTGTAGTCATGTCAGATCTCCAACACAAATCAAGGTCATGCCCAGTCAGGACCTGACAGGAAAGCTCGCGGTGAAATCCTAACTGCTCCACAAAGAAGGAGTGATTCAGGAGGGCATTGTCTCCTCTGTGACTCAGCTGAGCAGACAACCTGCTACAGGCGCCTTGAAGATTTCTCTTCCTGAAGGGCTTGCTCTCTTCACAGGGTACCCAGTTTGAGGTCCTATGGGCACTGCTAAAAACACTCATCATGCTCTTCCCAAAAGGGGCACATGGAGCATACCATCCAAGCCAAATTAAGATTGGGATAATTGGTATCCTTTCACCTTCTTAAATTCTTCCAGGAAAATTTTGGATTCAGGGCTGCTTTCCACTTCTGCAGCTAAATACCGTTGTGCGTTTGCTGTATTGCACTAAACTGCTGGAGTCTTTTCCCAGAGGTGGTTTCACTTTCATCATGGGTGACTCTTTATGCAAAGGGAATTTTCGCAGCACTTGAAGTTTTTCAAGGTTCAGGTTAATAAAGATTCAGATGAAGTGGTTGAAGCAGGGGGGATGGGGGGGGGCTATAATAGCTATGCTTTTTCCTAACCAGCATATATACTTTGGGTGTTAATTAATTGGTTCAGATGAAACTGTGGTCACACAGCTCTCTGTTTCTCAGGACTGTGTTCTCAGTTGAGATATACATCCCAGGGGAATTTACCATTTCTAGTCATACCGTTTTTTATACCCGCAGACCCTGACTGGGCATCCTCTACTCTGGGTGTTTTTATATGCCTCAGCTGTTCAGGAATTCACCGCAACATCCCTAGCATCAGCAAAGTCAAATCCCTGAAGATGGACCACTGGGATGATGCCCAGGTGCAGGTGAGATCTTTATCCCCACTGGTATGTCAGGTGGGTTGGGTCTAGGTCAGATACTAACTGGCCTGGGAAAGTCAGCCCTTTGCACAGAGTTGAAGATACAGTCTGATTTAATCTGTCCCTTTGCTACTCATGCTCTGGATATTTGTGCAGGGATAACTCCCCATAGCCCACTGGGAGAGGCAGGATGCATTTGCCTTATGTGTCTCTCCATGTCCTGTTACTTTATGGCAAATGGAGAGCTCTTGCAATGTATTTTGCCAAGGCTCAGGGTCTTTGTCACTCCAGATTACTCATTTCCCACTCACCAGCACCATCCAGATTCAATGTCTTCTCTTGGATTCAGCAGTCTGAGGGGAAAATTTGGGGCAATTCCATGCTCTGAGATGAGATTCCAGATATAATGTGATCTCTTGAGAAAAATGGCATCTGTGGGAACTTGACTTCTCCCTGTTACACCCCCCTCAACCCATAAATCTTCAGGGGACTGAAAACATTTTCTGGACATCCAAAGAGAATAATCTGTATCTTGCTGCTCTTTTGAGAGGAGCAAAGAGTTTTGGAATGTCCCCCCAGAAGGCATTGCATAGCTGTTGAACATGGTGTCCCCAGTGATGTGGGGCATGGCAGCAAATCCACTGAGTGTGTGTGCACCCAGCCCCACAGAATTGGCATTTATGGCATTCTTTGGATTCAGGTGCAATCAATGTAACTTCTAAAAGCAGACAGGACCTTTGAGATCCACCTTTATGGAGCCAGACATTACTGGGACGTCACAATGGAGGGGAAGGAGAATGCTCCATTAGAGCTTGATGTGCATCTAGCCCTGTCATGGGTCAGGAAAGAAAAAGGTCCAACATTACTCAGCATCAAAGGGAAGGAACTAACTCTCTGTCTAATTCTGCAGTTTCTGGCCAAGCATGGGAATGCTGTGACTAAAGGCATATATGAAGCTCACATCCCTATTTACTATTACCAGCCAACCTACAATGACTGCCAGTAAGTTGCTGCATAGGAAAAAAGGGGGAATGGCAGTTCTGGGTTCCCCTAAGTGTTTCTGAGCTACCTGTCACCTCTCTCCCTAGTGTGCTGAGAGAACAGTGGATACGGGCCAAATATGAACGCAGAGAGTTCACTGAGCCAGGAAAACAGCTGCCATATTCTGATGGTAAGAGCAGAGCACAGCATCAAAATATCCTGCCTGTTGCCTTTGCTGGAAGATTTTGAGTGCCGTGAGAAGAAAGCTCATAATGTCAGAGTGGCAAATCCCACAAGTACTCCTGAGAACCCAGCTGGTATTTATAGGGTATTGTGTTTTTTGGAGAGGGGATTCAACTGTGGCCAGTGTAGGTTGGTATTGCCATGGGTTGCTTCTGTGCTTTTTCAAAGCCATTTTCTATCCTGTTGGAGCCAGACGTCTTCAATAAGGAATTTCTGCCCTGCTGCAAACTACTCCCTCCAACCATGGCAGCTGTCTTTGAAATGCCCCTGCCAGTGCTGTGACACAAGGTGCTGGAGCCCAAGGGCCTGTAGAGTTGAGTGGAAAGAGTTCTGGTCCTACACAAGGTTCCAGGACTCTGGTGTTCACAGGAAAGATGGCTCTCATGCTGTTACAGACAGTAGTGGAAGCCAGAATAGGAGGTGGGAAGCATCTGGGAATCTCAATTTATCTGGGCTGCAAACCAAGGAACAGCCACCATCTTCAGCTGTAAGCCAGAGGTGGGACCTCTCCTCAGGTGTTTGTTCTCAGCAATAGTTCATCATGTTCATGCTGTATTCAGCTCTGGGGCTTCCAACACAAGAAGGATGTGGACCTGGTTGAGCAAGTCCAGAGGAGGGCCACGAAGATGATCAGGGGGTTGGAGCACCTCTGCTATGGAGACAGGCTGAGAGAGCTAGGCTTGTTCTGGAGAAGAGAAGGTTTCAAAGAGACCTTATAGCAGCTTATGGTACCTAAAAGGGCCTACAAGAAATCTGGAGAGGGACTTCTTACAAGGACATGTAGTGATAGGATGAAGGGGAATGGCCCTAAACTGAAAGAGGGTAAATTTAGATTAGGTATTAGGAAGTTCTTTACTATGAGGGTGATGAGGCACTGGCACAGGTTGCCCAGAGAAGCTGTGGCTGCCCCATCCCTGGCAGTGTTCAAGGCCAAGTTGGATAGGTCTTGGAGCAACCTGGTCTAGTGGAAGGTGTCCCTGTCCGTGGCAGGGGCTTGGGACTGGATGAGCTTATTAAGGTCCCTTCCAACCCAAGCCCTTCTGTGATTCTACGTGCTTTATCCCAAAGATATGGCTAGGACCCCAGGTTGCATGCAGCTCTCTGATGCCTACCATGCTTGTGAGAGGATGCTTTTAAAAGTGGCCTTTCTGCTCCTAGGAGTGAAGGAAGGCATCCTCTGGAAGCGAGGTCGAGACAATGGGCAGTTCCTACCCCGCAAGTTCCTCTTGTCTGAGAGAGAGGGATGTCTGAAGTATTTCACGAAGCAGGATGTGAGTATGGTGGTCAACTCCCAAGCCAGTGCATACTCCACTCAGGACAGTGCAGGCACAGAGGTGTTTCATATG